GGTAACTTTTTATGAGTGTAGAAAGCTGAGTCTTTCTCCTGCAGAGCAGCCGGTGGTTTCAAACTGCTGACCTTACTGTGAGCAGTCCAACCTGTCACTACTAGGTTACATGATTTGTTCAAGGTGATACTATGAGAGCAGGACAAGAAGGCCCTGAAAGAGCTACTAGTTTAGTGCCTCCACAGGCACCTGGCTGGATACTAGACTTTACCTAATTTTGTTTTCTCAACTGCAGATTCCTCAGGTCTCAGCCTAGCCCTACTGAACCACCTTTAGGGGTGGGGCCTGGTAAACCTGGGTTAAATCGAAGGACTCTGGTAAAAATTACCCTGGAGAAACTCCCTCACCCACTAGTCAGGGGTACTGCACACAACCTGGCAGCCTGCTTCTCCTGCACACAGAGCAGTGGTGATTTCAGTCACCTGGGCTGAGCACCAGATGAAGGAGGTGGATTGAATGCATTGGGCTTTGTGGTTCTAAACATACATGACTTTATACATGGACCACACTCAGTCCCCACCACTTTGCCAAGTCCCTAAAGCCTAACACGTGAAATGGACATAAGGTGTGACTCCATTTACAAATGAGGGGTTTGGTGCACCTTTGGAAGAGTTCCCCCAAATAATTCTGGGCACCCACGAATGTGGAAGACTGACTCGTTTAACGGCTTCTAATGCTTTCATAAACATTGCCGTAGCTCAGCATTAAAATATGATTTCTTAGGGGCAGGGAGGAAGGGGGAAAAAATGGGTAGCTGTTACCAAGGGCTCAAGTAGAAAACAACACTGTTTTGAGAATGACGATGGCAACAAATGTACAAATGTGCTTGACACAAAGGATGCTTGTATGGATTGTGGTAAGAGTTGTATAAGCCCCCGATAAAATGATTTTAAAAAGAAAAAAAATCTGATTTGTTGGGCCCAGAGTCCAACAGAAGGGACCCTGGTGGCGCAGCGGGTTAAGTAGTCGGGCCACCAACTGAGTGGTGGTTAGTTCGAAACCACTAGCCACCAGTCCCTCGGCGGAAGAAAGAGGAGGTAGTCTGCCCTGGTGCGCCCATGAGCAGTTTTACTCTGTCCTGCAGGGTCTCCGAGTCAGGAAGCGAGGCTATGGTTGGAGTCCAATAGCCAGGCTGCAGTTCCCACCTGCTACCGCTGGTGGCGCTCCTGCTAGAGAGACTAGCCCCGCCCCCCCCCAACACCCACCCCACCCACCGCTATAAACTCCACGAAGGGGCTGGAGGGTGAACTGGACGGGGATATGGTGATGAGGCAGGGATCGCGGGGAGGAGTCCCGAGGCAGTTGTGCTCACCCGGGCAGATGCTGCCTTTGAGGTTGTCCAGCAGGTGCGTCATGGTGCTGAAGTCGGGGGAGTAGGACACGTGCAGCTCGGGAGGCTCCGAGGCGATCTCCCGCAGCTCCTCCTCGACCGCCTTGCCCACTCCCACGGCGTACATGACGATGCCTGCGGGCGTGGCCCGGGGGCGTCAGCCGGAGTCCCGGCCCCTGGCAGCCTCCCGCCAGCGCAGCCCAGCCCGGTCCAGCCCACCTTCCTCCTTGGCGCGCGCCGCCCACACGGAGATGTCGTCCTGGGAGCGGCCGTCGGTGAAGACCAGGCCGACGCGAGGCACGTTGAGGGCGCGGGGCCGCGCGCCCTGCGCCTCGGAGAAGCTGTGCTCGACCAGGTGGCGCAACGCCATGCCGGTCATGGTGCCACGTTCCATGTACTCCACCGCCAGCACTGCCTGCTTCACCTCGGCAGCCGTCCCGTAGCGGCCCAGCGGGAACTCGGTGCGCACGCGACTCGAGAACTGCACCAGTCCCACGCGCGTGCCCTCTGGGGACACGTCCAGGAAGTCCACGATCTGGTTCACGAAGCGTTTCACCAGCTCAAAGTTCTGCGGGCGCACGCTCTTGGAGCCATCGACGAGCAGCACCAGGTCCACGTGACCTTCCCGGCACCCTGAGCAACGAGGAAAGGGGCTTGGAGGACCATGGTGATGGAGCAGAGGCCAGATTCTTGGCTGGCGACAGCCTTGTGTGCACCTGGTCATGCATTCAGCAAGCATTTATTACAACTGAAAAAATAAAACTTTACCAGAGCAGACAGACTGACTTGTCTTTCTTCCAAGGAGTAACATGGTGGATTTGAACCGCCAACCTTGCAGTCAACCACCCAATGCTAACCCAACAATGCCACCAGGGCTCCTTAGTATATACTTCCCAAAACCAAACACGCTGCCACCGAGTCAATGCCGACACATAACGACCCGCCTGGTGGGTTTCACAGATGGTAACTCTGTACAGAAGTAGAAAGCCAAGTCTTCCTCCCACGGAGCTGCTGGTGGTTTCGAACTGCTGACCATGTGGACCACAGCCCAATGCGTAATCACTACACCACCAACACTTCTTTACCAGATGCTATTTAATGAATCGTGTTGTTCCAGATACTATGTTAAGCACTTGATGACGCTAGGCATTTGCTAAATATGCACAGTAATATATATTATTACTAGCATCACCATCATCTGTCATTCAACTTGGAATCATCATGATAGCCCTATTTCTTCAGTGTTTTTATGGAGTCATTAGAACCAGGCACAACGGGATTTTTAAACAATCATAACAGTCACCACAATATCATTTTTTACCCTCTACTGCATATCAAATACATCTCTAAGCACTCTGCCAGTATTAGCAATGACAACATCCACACGGGGCTAGGTGCTTTATAAATGTTTTCTCAATCCCTTTGGTATTAATCCCATTTGATAACATCTGAACTCCCGAAGAAGCAAGTGATTTGCTCCGGATCCCATAACTGCTCACATAGGATTTGAAGTCAGGTCTGGCTGTCTGAGCCCCAAACCCATGCTTCCTGCTCACTCCATCATGGTGCCGCCCCTTGTCTGAGCCAGGGACCTTGCCAGGGCCTGAGGAGGGCACAAAACTAGCTCAAGCTGAACCCTGAGCTACAAGGATGCAGGATGGAGTGGAGCAGTCAGGCCTATCACGTGCTGAAATGAAGGGGTGAACAGAGCTTCACGGGAGCCAGAGACAGGAGTGACTCTTCTCCCCGCGGAAGCTGGGGAAGACTGCGTGTAGTGGCAACCTTGGATTTGGTCTTGAAGGATGAGTAGGAGTTTTCCAAGGCAGAGAGGAACATTCTAGATAGTGGGAAGCAACATGTGCAGAGGCCTCGAAGCTGGAAATCTCTCAATACGTTCAGAATGGGGAGACAGAGTGACTAAATGTTGAAGTGTAGCGGCAGGAGACAGGCTGTGACACTGTGGCGAACGTAGGAAATACTTTCCTTTTTTTTTTTTTAACCTCCGCCAACAGTGAAAAACAATGATCCCAAAAAGAACAGTAACATTACATCACGCACTTCATGTCCTCACAAAAAATAAAATGCCATGCAACACTCCTTGCTCTTTCTACTTGTTGCCAGTTCTATTTTCTACGATTGGTCTATTCGTGCTAGTTATAGCCCATTAATTTTATTTCATCGTTCCACTGATTACATCATCCACTGATTTCATGGTCCACTCTCAGTCACTAGCTGCCGTGGTATCAATTCTGACTCATGGTGACCCATACAAGTCAGAGTAGAAGAGAACTCCATAGAGTCTCCAAGGGCTGATTTTTTGGAAGTAGATCTCCAGGCCTTTCTTCCACATTTTCTCTAGGTGGATGCAAATCTCCAACCGCTTGGTTAGCCGCTGAGCACCTTAGCCATCTGTGCTACCTACGGATTCCCCCTAGCCACTGGTGCACAAATCCACAATGGGAAAACCTCACACATCGGGAAGTGGGGGTGTCTCTATTCTGTTGGCACTGGGGAGCCACAGAAGGCATCAGAGCAAAGCAGGCATGAGATCACATTTCCGCTTGAAATGAATCTTGGGCAGCAGGGCAGAGGATAGGGGGGAACAAGAAGGAGGCAAAGCAGGACAGAGCAGGACTCACTCTACCTCTCCCCCCAAAACACATACCCAGACACTCACATCACAGGCTTGGTCACAGCTAGGACACTCAGGATATGGGCAGGGGCAGGGGCAGCCAGAAGGCCTGGCCTGCGATAACTCACGGTTACAGCTCTTGCCATCTGCCTGGAGCTGCCGTCCCTCTGGGCAGAGACAGCGATAGGAGAGGCCTTCGCTCACACACTGGAACTCGCAGCCATGGTCCACACCATTACAAAGGTCCCGGGCTTAAAGGAGAGGGGGCAGGAAGAGTCAGGAAGGACCCCATCAGCTGAGGCTCCTGCCCCTGCCCCTGTGCCCAAATGCAGAGAGCCCTCCGAACCCTGACAGCGTCGCCCATCAGGCAGCAAGTCTTGCCCTCTGGTCAGCGGCACCAGGGGCCCCTGACGGTGCTGACGCACTCGTGCTAGCAGCTGTGGTTCCCGAAGCTACAGTGGCCGATGGCTGATGGGAACCACAGAGCCAGGAGTGAGGCACCACTCATCAGCGAGACAAGGGTGAGGGTGCTGGAGTGGGGGTGCTCACTCACCTCGGCAACTCCGTTGGTCCCTCTGGAGCACAAAGCCACTTCGGCAGTGACAGGAATAGGAGCCTGGGGAACTGGTGCAGGAATGTTCACAGCCATGCGTCCCTTGGGCACACAGGTCAATGGCTGAGGAAGAGGTGAGGTCATTGTACCCCAGGGAGCTGCATTTGTCAGTCTTGACAGCACAGCCACAGCTTTATAAAAGACCCATGCCTGGGCCCCCACGCTAAGAGCCTGGTTTCCTGAGCCTGGGGTGGGCCCCAGTCTTGTTAGGTGTCCCCCCGAGTCAGCTTTGACTCACAGCCACCTCACATGACAGAGTAGAAGTGCCCATAGGGTTTCCTGGGCTGTGGCCTTTACAGAATCAGATCACTGACTGGATGGGTTTGAACTGCCAACCTTTTGGTTAACAGTCAAACACATAACCATTTTGCCACCAGGACTCTTTGGGTAGCATGCAAGCCTCTACAATTCAGACAAGCCTCCTTCCTCCTGGGCCAGCTGACCCTCCTAGCTCAATCCCGAGGTGAATCCTAGGCTCAACATGCCCGTGACTGAGTCAGGCACAGGAGGACACTTCCAATGAGATCGCACAGGCCCCTTCCCCCGACCTGGTCACCAGGCTCTGCCACATCACCTGTCTCTGCCTCCATCTCCCCATCTGAAAATAGCACTATAAGAGACGAGAGCAATAGCGATTCACAACTGCCTTCCAAGGAGGTGAAGCCGCACACCCTGCTGAGCCTCTGGAAGGTTTGTCTGTGCAGAGATGGCCCAAAGTATACAAAAGTGAGAGGAATTCTGGGGTCCAGGCAGAGAGAAAAAGAGATGATGGAATCGATGTACAAATACGCTTTACACAGTTGATGTGTGTATGGATTGGGATAACAGTTGTATGAACCCCTAATAAAATGTTAAAAAATAATAATAAAAAAATAAAATGCATGTATAAAAAATTAAAAAAAGAGAGATGATGGATGGACGGAGGACAAGAGAACAAAGAGATGGTGTAAGGATTCAGGAGCTGGGTGGGTTGAGGCTGCCAATGAAAAAGTCCCCCATAATGGGGCTGTGAGATAAGTGTTGGGCTGCTAACTGTAAGGTCGGCAGTTCAAACCCAGCAGCCACTTCTCAGGAGGAAGAGGAGGCTGACTGCTTCCATAAAGAGTTACAATATCAGAAACCCACAGGAGCAGTTCTACTCCATACTATAGGGTCACTATGAGTTGGAATCAACTCACTGGCAGTGGGTTTGGGTTTTCTGTTCTTTGTTTATTTAATGGGATGGCTGGGGACTTAGGAAAACGGGACTGAGATTGGCTTATAAACAATAGGTGTCTCTTTTGTATGTGTTAAGCATGTGTGTATAGTTTACATATATGTAACTTGTGCCACAGTCCTCCCTGTCTTTCGTAGGCCATATGCACACTGACATGTACACACAACTGTCCTAGTGTTCATGAGTGTGTAAAGCAGGAAGGGGCTCGTTGATATGCCTGGGACATGAACAGTGTGTGTGGGATTGAGAAATTGAGAAAGGGTTCATAAACTGATCAGTTCCACAGAATCTCAGCACCAGAAGGGAACACCAGAATGGAGGCCTGTGGGGGTAGGGGAGTCTCAGAGAGCAGGGGAAGGCCCACAGGTCATCAAATGAGGGGCCACAAGTCATTAAACCCCTCCTTTCTGAAGTGTCCAGGAACCAGATGACCCCACTGATACCTAGATCACTGTCCTAACAATATCCTGTCCCCAGGTAGTTGCAAGGCGGAGTGATGATGTGGGTAGTGTACCTGGACCAAGCACCACATCTCCTACTCACTTGGCACTCAGTAAATGGTAAGTATAGGCTCCCTGGGGGCGCAGTGGTTAAGCGCTTGGCTGCTAAGAGAAAGGTTGAACCTGGGTGAGAAAACTGTGGCAGTCAGCCTCCTTAAAGATGACAGCCTTGGAAACCCTGGGGGGTGGGGGGACAGTTCCACTCTGTCTAACAGGACCACTTGCTGAGTTGGAATTGACTGGATGGAAATGGATTTGGGTTTTGGGGGATTGTTTTGGTTTGGTTTGCAGAGCAATGAGCTCTGAATGGTGGTGGGATGATGGCACAGGGGGAGAGGATGACACACACACACCTGCAAATGGAAAGCCTCATTGGCTAAGCAAACCGTTGTGCGCCATCGCTTTTCAGCAACCAAAAAAAAAAAAAAGTGTGGCCTTAAAAGCTCCCCCAGAGCGCCATTTAGGGGGGCTTCCAAAAGTTCGTAGAAAAATGAAATGAAATGATCACAAAATTTCCCCTCACCTTTTTGAAGCCCCCTCTCAAGGGCACCCATGGTCACTCGGGTGAGGAATAGAGAGGCAGAGACAGGAGTGAGGAGAGAGAGTGGGCATTGTATGTAGATCCCAACCAACCATGTCCACGTGTTAGAAACTAGGCATGTGCCCCTAAGAAGGCAGGAAGCAGAATGGCAGCCTGGTGGGGACCTGGCTGGACAAGCAGAGAGAATGAGAGTAGAAACTCTCCAGGGAGGTGGGGCAGGGGCGGGGGAAAGGTGTCCAGTTGTGATCCCACTGAAGCTGCTGACCCCGGGCAATGATGTCTCTTTATGGGGCCTACAAAGTGAGGGGGATAGAATTTCATTTCCCAAGCCCATTTGGTTGCATATCCAGTCAATGGGGAGCCACCAAAAGAAGGTTCCAAGGCAGTGGGACTGCAGGGTAGGGAAAGAGCTCACCCAAACAGCTCTTGTCATCTGCTGCCAACTGGTATCCAGGGTCGCAGGCACACTGGAACGTGCCTGGGGTGCTGACACACTGGTGCTGGCATCCATGTCCCCCCTCAGCACATAGGTCCTTCCCTGAGGACACACAGGACTAAGATCACCAGGGGGGCAATGGGCAGGCCTCTCCAGGAAGGGAGAGCTGGAGAAGTATGGGTTCCGTGGTAGGCCATTTAAGTCAGGAAAAGACACATGGTGGGAGGGTTTAGGGAAAGACAAAGGCTGGAGTTGCTAGAAGCTATGCCTCCAATATTTCAAATGCTAGCAGGGTCACTCGCAGTGGACAGGTTTCAGCAGGGCTTCCAAACTGAGGCTAGGAGAAAAAAAAAAGCCTGGCAATCAGTCACCCTCTGAAAATTAGCCAGTGAAAACCCCACAAATCACAATAGCGTCCCACCCAATCCAGCACTGGAAGATGGTGGAGGATGACTGGGCATTGTGGGCATCTCCTCTCCAAAGGAACTTCAAAAAGCCTGTGGAAAAACAGAGTTAAAAGATGATGGTGTTTTTTCCTTGAACTTTTTGAAGCCCCTTGTACATGGGAAGCCAGAGCCAATGTAATTGGCAACACAACAAAACAGGGTGGGGAGGGGGAGGGAATCAGGGTCTTAGTGCAGGTGGAGAAGTACGAAATCAAACTCAAAACTCGCTGTCTTTGAGTTGATTCCGACTCACAGCGAGCCTATAGAACAGTGTAGAACTGACCCCTGTGGGTTTTACAGGCTGTGAAACTGGCCGGGATGCAGACAGCCTCATCTTTCTATTGAAGCCACGGTAGGTGGGTTTGAAATGCTGACTGGACAGTGAGCAGTTCAACTCCTCACCCACCACATCAACAAGGTTCCTTGTGCTAAAGCCAGGTGGCTCCCCAAATCGTGCAAAATGTGAGTACAATAAGCCTTGCAGCTTCATGGGAGGGGCGAAGCTGAGAATGGGCGGAGCCATACCCAAGTAACAAGACTCTGGGGTGGGTGATTTGTTCTAATCTTTGAGGGGTGGTGCCTGTGACGGGCCTTGGCTACGTTGGAACTCCATAGTCAACCGGAAGAGAGCAGCATGCTTGATAAAGTAGAACACCTGTGAAAACCAGGAATCCCATCAAGAAGGGCTGGCACCTTGGCTGCCACAATGGGCGCAACCACAGCAAGGACTCTGAGGATGGCGCAGGACCCTGCTGTGTTTCATCTGTTGGCTCCCCTGGGTTTTCCAAGGCTGATTTTTCAGAAATGGATCACCAGGCCTTTCTTCTGAAGTACCTCTAGGTAGGTTTCAACTGCCAACCTCCGAGTCCACACCCCCTCCCCCACCGGGAATCTGACACACGCTTGAAGTAGGTAAACCCTCACCAGATTTGGCCCGGTGGGCAGGGGGGAAGTTGGAATCAGTGGGGCCACACACAGAAGGGATGGCAATTACTTTCGTAGGAACCGGGGATCCTGGCGACTAGGGAGCCCCAAGCACACTCCAGGGTTGCCCTGACTCACCACACAGTCGGCCCTGGAACTGCAGGCCAAACTCCTGGATCAGATCAAAGGACTCCACCAGGAAGACGTGCTCTTCCAGCGGAGGCGACGCCATGGCGCGCAGGGAGCCCACGTCGGCGCGCTGCACCCCCACCGCGTAGATCTCGATACCTCGGGCGCGTGCCTGTGCCGCCACCTCGGCCACGCGGTCCTGCGGCCGCCCGTCGGTGACTATGACTGCGACACGTGGCACACGTGCCTCCGGCGGGCGCGCCCCCTCGGCCACACTGAAGGCCACATTCATGGCGTACTGGATTGCCAGCCCGGTCATGGTGCCCTGCGCCAGCGGCACCAGGGCGTGGATGGCGCGCTCCATGTCCTCGCGGCGCGAGAAGGCGCCCAGTGGGAAGACGCTCTGCACTTGACTCGAATACTGGATCACACCGACGCGGGTGGCGTTGGGCCCCACGTCCAAGCCGTGGAGGAGGCCCACCAGGAACTGCCGCATGGTCTCGAACTCGAAGGGGCGGACGCTGCGGGAGCTGTCAATCACAAACACCAAATCCAGGGGCCCCGTTCGGCACTTAGGACCTGTGGAGAGACGGGACGGCGGCTTTCCTGGGTCAGCAAAGCCTGACCCATGAGGACACCCGGGGAAATCCGGGAGGATGCTGGGAACCGCCATCGCAGCATCAAGCGGGTCAGCCCAGGTGTGAGCATTTCTCCAGCATTGGCGCAGGGCTTGGCCTGGAGATTTCATGACTCCTTTATCTACACCTCTCAGGACGTATTAGCCATGGGGCAAGGTGAGGGGGCACAGAAACTAAAATGTCTATTGGGGTCTGGCCACACACACAAAAAAAAACAAAACTGTGTAGTCGATTCTCAGGCAAGAAGAACCCCACTCCACCCCCTTCTTGGTGGTAATCTTCATGGAAGTAGAACGCTAGACCTTTCTCCCGCAGCACTGCTGCGTGACTTCAAGCTGCCACTCTTAGGTCAACCGTCTGCTGCAAACTGTGTCACCCAGGGCAACAGGGGGCCATACAGGCAACCAAAACGAGTGAACCGGTTGGGTTAGGACGGCAGACACCCAGAAAGCTCACACACACACACACACACACACACACACACACGCCCGCCACCCACCTCACCAGAGTAGGCACCTTCAGCCTACTACATGGTGCCACATGTGTATGCGGACTGGTGTCAGCAGCTCTTTAGATTCTCCCAGGGATGTCCCAGGTTAGCATTTGTATGTGAAATCGACTGGTTTTTCGTATTCTATTACTTTTTAAAAGTATGTGTCAAATGAACATGAGACCAGATTTGTGATCTCAATGTCACACTACACAGATTGATCTAGAACTCAAGCCTGGCGCGACTCTAAAACACTTGTCTCTCTCTCCACCACGCCTAGCTAGCTGCCCGTGTCCAAGCAACTTTGCACCGCTCCTCCACTAAGAGGCGCTCACCTGCGAACTGGAACTGGGCTTCCCAGGGCCAAAGGAGCAGCAGCACCAAGGGCAGGGGTGTGCCTAGAAGGCCCCTCATGGCGCTTGAAGGACGAAGGCCTGGCGGGAGGAGGCAGAATAGTAACGCCACAGTATTCACAACTTTATTCTGCATGACGAACACTCAGGAAAGGAGGGTCAAGGGATGGTTCAGTATTGCTATTATCACCATTTATATCAGGGGTTTATTTTGCTCATCTCTCTGTTTTTGTGTATATCCAAAATTTGCCAAAGTACAAAAAAAAAGTGCTGTGCAATTTCTGGAAAGCACGAGGAATACTACTTTGTAGCACTACTTTCTAGAATATGCAAGTAAATTAAAAAAAAATTTTTTTAGTAAATTAATATTATATTAAAACATGCACAATTTCAAAAGCAAAAGGCTTTGCCAGCCAAGGATTAAAAGCTCTCCCTGATTGTAGCATTTAGCATTTTTCTCAGCAGTTCTAGGCGACTACAGCTGTTCTGAAGGAGCCCTGGTGGCATAGTGGATTCCATGTTGTACTGCAAACCACAAGGTCAGCAGTTCGAAATCACCAGTTGCTCTGGGGGAGAAAGATGAGGCTTTTTACTCCGGTGAAGAGTTACAGTCTTAGCGGTTCTACTCTGTGCTATGAGTCAGCATCAACTCCATGGCAGTGAATTTGATTGTCCCTATTGTACATATGGGGGACTGAGGCCTGGAAAGTTAAGGGCTGGAACCCAAGTTCAGCCGGTGAGAACTTGGGTGCCAACTGCAACACAAAGGCATGCCTATCAGGGTCTAAGGTGAGCAGGGGGGAGCTCAGAGCTCCCTTCTCCATTGGGGCCAGCCTCCACAGACCTCAGCCCTCTCATCTCCTCCCACAAGGGGCTTCTGTGTGATTGGACTTACGGGTAATCACCACTACCACCACCAGGATGGCAAACCTAGAGCTAGCCTGAGTGGGACTGGCCAGGTCTTTGGCCATCTCTCAGGAGAGGCCACCAGGGGGCACTGTCCAGGTATGGCTGTGCAGGCTAGGGTAGCCGTGGGAAGCCCACAGCTGTGCAGCAGGTGCCCCTACCTAGAGCAAATAGAGGGCCAGGAGCCTGGGGCCTTGGAGATAAGGCCTCAGGCAGGATATATCCAGTGCAAGGGTGCTTAGGGCTCTGGGGACAGCAACAGTAGCCAGAGAGCTGAGAACAAGCAACCATGGACCTTCTGGGGACAGCAGGTGAGTGCTCACCCTCCCACAGCCCCAGAAATGTCCCTTCAAAGTCAGTGAAGGACCCCCATTGCATAGGTGGGAAAGTTGAGGCTCAAGAAGGAAGCACACTAAGCTGTAAGGCCGGAACTGGCGCCTGGAACTCCTGGCTCCCCTGTTTTCCTTCTGAAGCTGTCTGGCCTTGTCGTTGTTAGGGACCATTGGGTTGCATTGGGACTCTTAGAGACCCATGTGTTACAGAGTAGTGCCCGCTCTATAGAGTTTTTGTTTGGTTGGGCTACGATCTTTATGGAAGCTGATAGCTGGATCTTTCTCCCACAGGTGAGTTCGCCACTGGGTGAGATCTCTCTGCCAACCTTTGCATTAGCAGCTAAACACATAACCATTTCATCTCGAACCCCCTTTTCATTGCCTGGACTCCCTTCCTCCCACCTCATGCCACTCCCTTCTTCCTCCCAACTCCCCCCACCCCCAGGCGGAGGCTGCCTGAGCTGTTTTCCAGTTGTCGGTTGTTGTTTTTTCTTTCGGCAGGGGGCCAGCCGCCCCTAACCCAACCGCAGCTGCACCCCACCCCACCCCCACCCCCAGTTCCCTGAATGGGCCTATTCTGAGCCGGGGTCTGGTCTGCTGCTCACTCTTGGAGAAGGACTTCCCGTCGCGATTCAGCTCCACCTCCTTTGACTTCCATGCCTGATCCCGAGAAAGAAATCCCTCTGCCCAGCCTGAGAGCCCCGGGGTGCAGAGACTGGAGCCACCTGTGCCCTGATTCTCTAACTTGGGCCAGAGCCAAGGCCAGCACCCTGGGCTGAGTAGGGGGCAAAGCCATGGGGAGCTTGTCCCCCACTCCATCCTTTCCTACCTGCAGAAGTCTCTGCGTTCCCAAACTTCTTGGCTTCAGTCAACCTCACACCTGGTACTCCACCCCGACCCAGAGGTCCATGAAATTCCAAATATCACCTGCCTCAGAGACCCTCACTCCTCCCATCCCCTCAATCCACCCTAGGGAGGGACAATGACTGGAAAGGACAGTGACTCAGCCGAGGTCACACAAGCTGGTGCGGCCTGGTGGCAGGCGCAGACTAGAAAGGGCTGCTCGTAAGAGGAGTTAATTCTTGCCTTGCAGCGAAAGACTCCGATGCCCTTGGGGTGGAGAAAGTGGACTCTGAGGAAGGCAGGGAGGTCTGTGATCAGTTCCTCACGAGCTGGCTGAGCTGAGAGCTCCTTTGCGACGTTCCTGGAGGCACGAAAATTAGGGAAGGTGCCCCGCAATTTGAGCGGCCTGGCTGGCGGGCACTCAATTTGGAAAGGTCCCTACAGAAGGGGGGCGAAGCGTCACAGCGCAGGGGGCCGCGGTAAGAACTGGCTTGACGCCTGCTCCTCCGCAGGTCCCCCCGCGCCCCCGGGACCTTTGACTCACCTGAGCCTGCCGGGCAGCTCGGAGGCGCGGTCGCAGAGCCGAGAGGACGGGCGGGGCCTCGCGGGCACTTGGACCAGGTAGCGGCGCGGGCGGCGGGCCCGGGGCGGGGACTGCCGGGCAGCTGGAGCCCGCGCAGGCGGCGGGCGCATTTAACCCAGGCTGGCGCGTGGGGAGGGGGAGCGCGGACTAGGACCCCTCCCACTGCAGCGAGCGACCCCC